GCACACCCGCAGATCCTGCAAGCGATCGGGCGTCTCTAGAGACGCCTGACCGCTTGTATGTAAACAGCCATCGCTGGCTGTTTACATGCTGACGGTTTTCCCTCTCGTGTGCGGCGCTCAGCGCGGACACGAGAGGGGGGGAGGGGCAGGACGTCTTAAGACGCCCTCCCGCTCTGAGCAGACGTCCATCTGGCCGTTCACAAACGGCCATGGACGTAAGGTAGTTAAATATATAGACTAACAATATTGTGTGATATGATAAGTGGAACACTGACTGGTGGGTGGAGTCAGGGTTAAGACATTATGATTGCCACATTTGTTACATTGGGAATGGTATGGGTTAGGATCCAGAAATAAAGTCTAAGAGGACAATTTATGTAAAGTATCTGCTATTAGAAACATGTACTATAATGGATGTATTCTAACAATATAGAATGAAGACATACTCTAAGGGTATTCCAATATGATAGAACTGTATAGATGCATGCATATTGTTTTAGTGGATGATGTAGGGTGAAAGGAACATATTCAATTTAGAAATTAAATAAACTAGATAGTGTAGAAGCCATTAATTTGTAGGTTGCCCTGAAATGCTTGCCGATTACCAATTGTTACTATATTTTTAAAAGGTATTTTTGGAGATACATTTCAAATCTAGGCAAATGCCAGATGGCTACAGAAGAAGAGATATATTATGATACAGCTGCTACACACTATAGAAAAAGGATTTAATATTGGAAAGAAGGAACTGAGGCCTTTGCAAAACAGGTATGCATTGAACCTGTGTCTTACAGCATCCAGAGGAGTTTATGCAAAGAGTTTGGACCAGCAGATGATGGTGAATAAGTAAACGTCTTCAGGCATCAAGCACCTGGCCAAGCTGAAAGGCGATATGTAAGAAGAAGCAGAACCTCATGAGACTAAGCTTGCTGAATGGTCCCTGGAACCGCTTAGTTGGTTTCAGTCACTGGTTAAACTGATTGCTTCTCTTTTCAGTCGAACTGCATGTGCTGAGATGCTGTTGATTAATGACTGTTACCTGTTGCAAAAGTTTACAGCAAAAGATGATGTTGCTAAAGTCGACACCAATGTATTTGTGCTTCAAATGGACAAGACTTTGCAGCTACAGAAGAAGATAGTGTGTTTTTGATCAGCCTGATGTTTTGGACATTTTGTGCGCTAAAGCGAGTCAGGTGAATAAGGTGGTTGAAAGGCATGATGGGTGGTCTGCTCTGTAATTGCTATGAGGCTCAATCAGTCTTAACAGGGAGGAGATGTAGTAGAATTTTGATATTAACTCATACACTTCATGTTGTTAATAATTTGGTTATACATTATTATAAATATTATGTAATAGTTAGAGTTATTTAGTCTTAGAAGTTGAGCAGCTTTATATAGACATATACAGGTGGACTTTAAAGACATATAGATGAACTTTAAATGAACCCTAAGAGCATACAAGACACACTTGGCACATGTGCACGTGTCTATGTGCTTGGGCTGCAATAGAAGGGTCTAGAACAACTTAGGAGACGTGATGTCTAAGAAATTTTAAGATTTATGGCTAGTTACAGTGAGGTACGCATTGGCAGCCAATTATATTGTACCCATATGGTTGTAATGTAAAATTTCTTATAAAAAGGGGCCTGCAACTGCAAGCCTCTATTTTTGGAACTTGCTTATGCCTGTTCCCAGCTGCAGCTGTTATCATTAAACCTGCTAAATTAAGCTTCTGCCTGGGCCAATCCTTTGCTATTCCACTTGAATTGCTTTATACCATTATCTTATTTGGGATGTTATATGACTGCACCTTTTTGCTATGTTTACTGGCCAACTGTTATGGCCCATTTATTGTTAACTGCACTCTCTAATAAAACAACAAATTAAAAAAAAGTAATATTCCGGGGCTAAACAATATTACTTAAAACCCCCAATCATTATATATAAAAGCAAAGAATTGTAACAATAAGAAGATGGTAGTTGTAAATTTGTATGTTGCACGATATTTGTGAAACTATTTTGCAAGCCTATTTTTTTCAGTAGAAAAAATACACAAAAAATAAGTTAATTTATGTTGTTTCCACATCCCTGTGTTTTCTGCTTAGATATAGTCAGTTTGGAGACAATCTAAAGCAATGCCAAAAATACAGCAAGGCACAAAAAAAACAATATGTGCAATAATTGCAGTAGCTGAATTTGTATTTATACCCAAAGACCCTGTATCAAGTAACCTAGGAGTGTGGCATGTGCCTGTAATATTCTATTACAGTTGTTTCCTAACTTTTTTCAATTGCATACCCCTTGGCAGCCCATTTCCATAAATTATACCCTATCCCTGACACACACAAAAATCAGTCAGTACCATACTGACAATGCCAGAAATATGTGCACAAGCTGTATATTTGTGGCGCCAAGGCTGGATATACTAGTATGTATACTGGAGACCCGGTAGCTGATCAAAAACCCCATCTTTACCATTATTCCCGTTAAGCTCCCAGATATGGTAACTAAGTAACACTCAGTTACAAAAAAGCCACTTTATATTTTCACTATATTTTTTGCACACTCCTAAACATCTAATCATTAATAGAATTTGACAACAATAAACTGTTAACTTACTGGTTTTATTGTCTTCAAGAGGTTAATACCAAACTTTTCAATGCTACGGTGTGCATCAGCAAACATAACAAAAGCTTCACTTGCTGCAGGTTGAGGTTCTCGAACTCCAATGATGGAAAATACATCACCAAATGCTAAAAAAAAAGTGAATTACATTATTAAAATTGGACAGAAACCTACTTAATATTATTATTTAAATATCCTAACTTTGCGCAATGCTGCACTTTGAAATTAGATTTTTTTAAATTTACCGCTTATATATAATTTGCAAAGCACCCTAAGTAAAAACTCCTGGAAGTGCCCAATGTTTTAACCAAAGGTGGCAAAAGATGCGTTAAAAAGGTGTAAAACATGAAGAAAACTGTAAAATCCTTTTTTCAAAAATTATCAAGACACACAGCATTGCAATAAGGACCATCGGGTATACAATATACCGCCACTTATAGGAGGAATAGATTTTTGAAAAAAACTATGATAGCCTTAACCACAGCCATAGTAGAACAAGAAATTCACATTTGAATGAACTGGAGCTGGAAAAAGCCAAGGTATGGCAAGGTTTTATTAAGGTAGAAAAAAGCAATCCAATTTAGGTAAAAAAGGAAAGCAAGAAGTGACCTCATGGTAGAAGTTCTGATTGGCACCTCAGAGCATCTGCAAGCAGATGAACCAGATGTACATTCAGACAAGATGTCCGGCATTGAAGGGATAACCCAATCAGAATACTGATAAGGAACTGATCTTCCTCTGATGACTAAGTTTCTTGTACTAACAGGGTGCCTAGGACTCGCATAGAATAGCCTTACAAACCTGTAACCAACCACTTTCAATTACAGAGGTTGTGTCCTCTGTAGAAATATGGAGAAATTCCGCTCACTTACGTATATAGGACGGTGTGGGAGATGAGAATGCATTAGTACAATTTGCGATGGTATGGGTGAGGAAAGAAAGTGACAGTTTAGAGTGTGGGGAGAAGAGCAGAAGGTTAATGGGGGAATAAACAATTTGTTGCCAGGGCGTAGTGACATGGTGGGTTAGAAAATGTCGGATCTGTATGTATTGGAAAGTGTCAGTAGTAGGAAGTTGGTACTGAGTCTGAAGGTCCTGGAACGTTTTACAACTACCCTGAGAGGTAAATAGATCTGTAAGTACAGTTATACCTTGAGCATCCCAGGACCGAAAGACAGAGGATTCTGGACCTGCACTAAAAATTGGGGAGGATCTAATGGGCATTAATGGAGAGAGTACAGTAGAGACACGTAGGAGTTTTCTGACTTCTCTCTACGCTAACACAGTGGGGTCTATTCACAAAGCTGCCGAAGGATCTGGCCGTAGCTTCGGCTGATCCATCGGCTAGCTTCGGCCCCAGGGGAGCCAATAAAACCAGCCGCTGCTATATCTAATATAGGCAAAGCTGTCCTTTCTATATATTGCTGAAGCCGAGTGTGGCACAGGGGATTATTTGAGGCTGTCATTAAGTTACCTATATTATACAAATCAGAGTAGTACTGGTGAAATGACGATGATCCGAGGTATATACCAATCCACGATTAGGACATTGGATTTTAGGAATATACATCCTCATCCGTTTTTTCCTGCTCCACGTTTTGGTTGGCCATAGGCATCAGTCCTATATGAGTTCAGCATATATGTGTTCATTCTCATTGAAGTTTTCTACATGCATTAGTCATGCAATAAGTCTAGCACTCATGCGTTTATTTATTCTTGAAGCATGCATTAGCTGAGCACACGTGTGTCTGTTTATTATTAAGGATGTGAGCATTAGCCATGCATTTTTCAACACACATGCATTTATGTACATGCATTAGACAAGAGTTTATCCATGCTGTGGTTGGTGACATGCATTAATCCACATTCTGGCTAGAGATATGAATCAGTCCTATATGGGTTCAGCACATATACGTGTATTTACATTGAAGTTTTCTACATGCATCAGTCCAGCATTAGTTCAGCACACATGCGGTTATCCCTTCTTGCAACATGCATTAGTTGTGCATCAGCTGAGCACACAAATGTGTTTATAATTCAGGCTGTGACATTCATTAGCCATACATTTTTTAAAAACACGTGTTTGTTTTTGTACATGCGTTAATTTTTAGCATACAGGTGTCTACTTATGTTTGTGGGTTTTTTTTAGCATGTAGTATTTATTGAAGTTTCAAAGGATACAATACACGATGTGAAAGAATAAAACAATGTAGGAGGTGCCAAAGCATAACAGTAAGGGTTTTACATGCCCCAAAGCTTCTTCCGATCAATAACAGGCTGGCCATGTAGATAGGGGGTCAGATATACGGCAGACCTCACCAACCTTAGTATGCATCTATATTAACAGTAATAGTGCAATCAAATAATCCAAACCACAACACCTAATGGTCAACAAAAGTGAACATCCTTAACAGAAAGGGAAAGAGAGAGAAAGAAAAACTGCGCTTGGCATGCCACGGAATGAGAGCAGACAATGTATAGGCTACATTGTCATTACCCTTACGAGGTGTCATAACAACTAAGCTTTATTCGGATTCTACCAGGGTCTTGTGGGACAAGATTTTCGTCAATGTTTGTGTTGTTAATCTTATTCCTTGAGAAATTGGAACCAATGATCATGTTCAGCCAATAATCAAGTTCAGTATATTATTTATGGTTTTGGTGGTGTATTTCAATCTATGCTACTCACATGCATGTGGGATCCGTGAGTTATGCAATGGTAATCCTTTCAGTTACATCAGGACATGTGCCACAATGTTTGTCCTAGTTTTGTCTGTGCGCTGTGAATAACATTGTACTGTATCTTCTGCTCATATATCTGATGCCGTGATATCAGCACTATTGTTGGTTCCATGGTACATGCACCAATCCTACTACAGTGTTTTCCTGGAGCGTCCATCCTGACAGTTGCTATGGGGGCAGATACTGTAGGTTGGATATCAGAGGTTGCTTGTGTGACGGACCGCCTGGTAAACCCGACTGGGTACCTCCGTCAGAAAACAGCTTCCTCTTCGCTGGAACCCGAATCCCAGTGTCATCAGCCCAAACCTGCCTAATTATTGGACAGAACCAATATATTAGGACAGAACGCTAAACCACTCAATCATTAGACAACACCAATGTTGAGGTGGAAACCAAGATCTGCTTTATTAAAGACCAGCTCAGTATATATACAGTTCAAGAAGTCTAAACACATAACGCAATCAACCATAAACAGCCTGCAAACAGACATCCCCTCCCCGATGCCTTAATGAATGAATAGGGAGAGAGGAGACACATGTGATGGGATTATCTCCTGAGTGTATCATAGGGTGATCTACTCATCTACACCCGGAGTCAGCTACTCCTAGAATCAGCTATCCTAATCCCATCATCAACACAATATAACAAAGGGACCAATAAACTGTAACAGTTCAATATCCAGAATTAACCCCCTTCAGTGCTGCTGGATTCGCAGCCTGTACCTATAATAAAACACAGGGTCATCCAAATGTAATGCCAGGGAAAATGTGCAGTACATCCCTCCACACATAAACCTGGTAGAATGGTTAATTGTAACCCCAAGAGGTCCGAGGGGGTCTCCATAGTTCTGGGTCCATAGTCAGTAGGAAGGAGGCTAGCCCCCAGGCTCCTCCAACAGCACCAGTGACGGTTCAGTCCGTCACAGCTTGGCCATAATAGGTTGGCACCTGACGATTGGCTATTAAATGTGGTCCCTTCTACTCTACACACATTAGGGGTGCGTGGGGTAGTACCCACATATACTTTTTAAGATACTGAATACAACACAATTTGATGGGGTGTCTCCGCCCATTCCATGGCAAGATGGGGGTGTAGGGTGGCACCCACACATGCACTACACTGGATATTGGTTACTCCAGCATGAGCAGATGTGCAGCTGTCTTTTGCTCATTGTGACCTCTCACTGCAATCTCTGATTGTGCTCATTATTGTGTGATGTTTCACTATCGAATCAACTCTGTAATTTTAGCTCAATCTGAGTTTGAGAGTTTTAGAACAAATCAAAAAAGATAATTCAAAGTAAAAACATTAACACAAAGAGTCACATCAAAAAGGGGGGGGACAGAAGGGACTGTCCCTGGTGGGACACAGTAGGCAACAACAGCTATACAAACAGCAGTATTCGTGTGGTTAGAGTACAAGTCGCACAGTTAACATTGTGAAAATGTCCAGACTGGTAAATAGATTGGCATTAAATATACGGATCAAGCCACATTGGTGCCGTGAGGTGCAGGCCCCTCCTCTAAAGAGCATCAGGGGTACTAGCAAGGGATAGCTGAAGCAAGTCTCCAGCATTGTGGGTCAGCTTGAGTAGAGGGGCAGATGCAGAGATAGGCGTACAGTATGGACCGAGGCAGAAAGAAGACGACAAACAAGGTAAAACCACTGGAAGGGAACCCCTCCAAACCAATAGGCCAGGAGCTCAGGTAAAAACACAGTCTCCGCAAAGTCAGCCGACTCCCGAAAGGTGAGCCAGGTAGACCAGGTGTGCACATATACATGTCCAGCTTCGCGCTCCTCGGCCAAAAGGCTCTCCAGGTCCGCAATATGATCCAGCTCCACCACCCACTCAACCAGGGTAGGGGCCACCGACGTACGCCAATGGCGTGGGATGACCGTCCTGGCAGCCGTGAGGAAGTGTCGCAGGAGGCCTTTCTTCGCTGACTTCAGAGACCCAGGTAGCATCGAGAGCAGTAGTATCTTGGGGTCATTAGCTATCGCAATGCCCGTCACTCTAAGGTAGACCCCCAACACCCCCCGCCAGAACTCCTGAATGAAAGGGCAGCTCAGCCAAATTTGTGTCATATGACCTAGGGAATCGTTACAACGCCAACATGAGTCGGAGACGGCCGGTAAAAGCGATGAAGGACCACTTGGCATCTGTACCATCTAGTCAGGATTTTCAGATTCTTTTCATGGGCTTTGCTGGCAATGGAGAGGGAATGGGTGAGCGCAAACTATTTCTCCCAGTCTGCTTCTGTCACTGGAGCCCCCAGCTCCCGCTCCCACACAGAGGTGTAGGCCAGTAAACCGGGGGAGGCCGCAGAGGAAAGGAGAGAGTAAATCAAGAAACAGAGTGCGTCGGAGGCAAGGAAACTAAGAGGAG